AGTACTTTTGTTCCACCCCTACACCTTCAGTGTTGGAGAACTGGGTTTTTCTCTTCTTTGAGTTTTGGGACCCGGTTTTGAGTGTTGGAGAACTGGGTTTTTCTCTTCTCTGAGTTTTGGTACCCGGTTTTGACTTTTGGCAGTGTCTGGGTTCTTTAGGTATATCTAACGTTGAACTTCCTGGGGCGTTTCCATTTCTCCGTCTCTTATTCAGCGAACATGAAAGGGACTGTCGCAAATAGTATGCTATTCGCGCCAGTCCCTTGCAACGCGAGTGTAAATAAGAGCTCCGCATCTCATTTCTGCCCAGTTGGGGTAAGAATCCTTTGCCTGCTGGCAGCCGTGAATTGTTTGTCTCTCCCTTTCACGTATCGCACCTTATGCGGCCGCGCTTCTTTTCGTCCCTCCCTCCCTTCCCTGTCCTTTCCACTTCCAACTCACTCAAGCGCGGTTCCATTTCTCCGTCTCTTATTCAGCGAGCGTGAAAGGGACTGTCGCGAATAGTATGCTAATATATAGATTTAGCCAGGGCTAAAAGTGAAGCTCTCGATAATATTTATAGTTTATTCAAACAAAACATAAAATCGTGTAATGCTAAGCGGCGAAGGCATCCTACGCCGGAAAACGGTGAAAACAACAATAGGTCTAATCAGCAAAAGCAACTTTGCACGTGCAGCGCACTTTTTTGTACATTTCTTTGCCGTTTTTTTTTTGCACAACTACAACGTGAAACTTCTTAGTTACACGTTTTATGGATGAAATGTCGTAAGTGTTCCCGTTCACTTTTTTTCACTGCCGCACATTTTCACCTTGCTTTGGTGGCCGCTACAAAATTTTCATGTTGTTCTTCCAACAAAAATATGTCTCCTTTGTTTTTTATCTCTCGGTCTAAGAAACAATTTCCGCTCTCCGTTTTCGTCTTTATTGACTGTTTTGTTATCTCTGCTTTACAAGACGCCGGTGGCTATGCGATTTCCAGCCAAAATATCCTCGAGTTGCATTTGGGTTGCCATACCTGTTGATTGAGTTATTTTACCTTGGTATGCCTGTGGTGCGGACAGACGGTCTCTCGGTGTACGGTCATGTGATTACCAAATTTTCTCGGATGGGTACATTACTTCATTTTCTTACCCATGGTGCTCCCCTGGTGTGCTTCGCGCGCGAGAGCTCCGCTAAAAAAGGAGCGCTTCAATAAAATATGGATTACTTGATTGAATTCACTGAATTGCTTAAATATTTTTGCTGAATACTATATATTATAGCAACGAGCAGATGTATATTGAAGGTCCTTCCTTTTGGGGTCTGGAACGAATCTATTGAAAACAAGAAACAGTAAAACGCTCTCGGCGAACGACATGTGGACGCGGAGGGCGGGGAGGGTCAAATTAAGAGACCCAACAAAAATGACTACAGTTGGTTATGAGCCGCTACTAAAATATAACAGGACCCCCGTGAGTATTCAGGATAGATTTTCATTTTGCCACAGAGGACCGATGGGAATTGAAAATGGGAAATAAAAATGCTGTGTTCTTAAATCTTCAATACACAGTAAGATTGATCTTGAAAGCAACGCAAACTCTTTATACTTGGGCTTGTCATGTACTTGTATCTCTTGAACTGCATAAAAACTTCAATCAAATGAGTAGAATGATTTACGTGATCTTTTTGCTGAACATATGAATTATTTGTTTGCAGCCTAGTCCCTAGGCCGTTCTCTTTTGCCCCGTTGTCTGACGTCACAGCTCACGGTGGGGTCCAAGATTGACCGAGTCGAAACTAGGCGGATTTGCTTGCGAACAAAGTATTTATGTCACTTCCTGTCAAAGATTGTTTATGTTATTAATAATATATATTTAATGTAATTCACGTACGGTAATACCCTAAAAGTCACATGTGTGGCGATATAAGGGGAATTATAATGAAAGAAGATCATCGTAGTTACAGACTCAACTTTTGCAGTTTCGAAAAGAAAACCCGAAAAGTTTACATACATATGATTTTCATATTGATTCATAACTTCGATAGAAGGGGATGCATCTGGCGATCACACCTCTTCTAATCTACTAATAAAGGCATGAATTACGGAAACTAGCAAACAAGAAACATCAAGACCCTTTGAATACTACCATACGTGAGCAATACCATGGTACTCTGGCCCAATACAAGAAATTACTTAATTCTACAAAAAAGGCTTATCGCAATGCCAAGATTTCTGAGCTAGAAAAAACTGCACACAATTCAGACGCGAAAACTTTCTGGCAATAACTCAAATCAATGGATGACACTAGAAAAGGAAAGGATGTTCAATCAATCTCGGAAGAAAATTGTCTACCATATTTCCACAATCTTCATTCAAATGAACCTCTTAACCCAGCGAAGCAAAACATTTGCAATGAGCAACGACAAAATGAATGCCATGGTCAACGTTCTCGTCCTTTAGATTTCATGATAACTGAAAGAGAAATCGTAAAGCTGCGGAAAAGTTAAAGAATAATAAATCACCATTTTCGGATAAATGAAATGATAAAAGCTAGTATTGATACACTGATCCCTGTATGTGAAAAATTATTTAAATCAATTTTTCACCAAGGGACCATGCCACAGACTTGGTGTGGTGGTCTTATTACTCCCATCTATAAATCGTATCTGTGTCTCCAGCTGCCTGTGAAAACTGTTTTGTTCTATCTTAAGCCAACGACTTCTCGAGTATATCGTTTCTTTGAATATGCTCCACAAATCTCAAATTGGCTTTTTACCGAATAACCGCACAGTAGACCACGTCTTCACTCTTCGAACCTTGATAGATAAGTACGTTCAAAATCACAACGAAAAGATCTATGCTTGTTTTCTAGATTTCAAAAAAGCTTTGACTCGGTCTGGCATGATGGACTCTTGAAGTCGGTGGTTCTTCTTGTAACTTAATTAAAAGCTTATCACAGCTCTTAATGCTGAATTGAAATTGCCCAAACACCGGGACCACACCAGGACCAATTTGCTGCGTTTTTGACTGCCACATGCACCAAAACGTTAGAAAACCGAAAACGCTAGAGTGGCAGTTGAGACGTAAGTTGAACCCTACTCCTCGAGATGCTACAAACACCCGCGCCTGCGATATTTCTGGTCTTCGTTTTCGTTTTGATGGACGGTAGGAACGTCATGTATGGGGAATTATAATGTACCGAATATTATAATACACAAACATACACACACATAATGTAACTTCAGGGACCTTACACAGCTTTACACGGCTTTACTACACTATACTACAAACTATCCGGCCTGATGGACCTTGTTTCATTTCTGACCGTTTTCGACCGTCCACACTAAAATGATATGTATCCATTTTTGTTTTGATCTACTCAGTTCCAAAGCGTGTTAAAATCGATCCGTTTTTAATGAAAGTCCTCAGCTTCGTATTGGTGTGGAAAGACATTAAATGCTGTGTTCTTCTCCTGCGTGGTGGAATTTGTTCATTTTATGGTCAAATTTAATCTGAAAGGAAACTCTTGATACTTGCGCTTGTCACGTTCTTGTACTTCCTTAAATGAAAATCCGTCAAACTAAACAATAGAATTATTTACTGAACACAAAATAAGAATAAAGGATACTAGCTTGTCACACTTGACCTCTGTATAGTCACTCGTACTATAACTTCCTTTGTCCTTAGAATTCTCCTTTGTTCTTTTATTCATGAATCCAGCTGCCCGTCTCCTTTACCCATCGACTCTCGCGTTTTGGAAAAGGAGGTAGTAAGTCAATATTGTATTTTAATACTCGGTTTTCCTTGGATAAAGCTTCAATGTGTAATTCGCCGATTATCACCAACCACAGAAGACACCGCAAAAAAACACTTAGCTATAAAGTCATGCTGTTTAGTTTAGAAGTTACTTCAAGCATAGTCTTCGGAGTGCTTTCCGTTATACCTACAGTAACTACACAGTCGCATTTATTTTTTTAAATACAATGATAGATAATTTGTCTCATTTGACTAGACCGCTGTCGGAGAGAATCGCGTTTGCAAAGTTGTTATAGCCTCTTTTACAGTTTCGTTCTTTCGTAAACATTTTCTGCACGAGTTCCTTTTCGGCGTATTTCTGTGGGAAAAGGTCATTCTAATGTTTCGTGAATCTTGAAAGTATCCTAAAGGAAGCGTAACTGACGTATAGCATATTTTGTGGACCACGGCGTTACAATGAGATTTTCATTCGATATACATGTATTCTGGTGAAAGCTACTCGAGCTAGCCTGCGAATACAGTCGTTTCTAATAGCTCACCGCCGCTCGCGAAGAGTGCCAGCGGAAGGGAGAATTAAGAGGCGGTTGTATTAACAGGCTACACAGACGTTACACAGGAATGTTTGAGGCCGACTGAAGAGTGCATTCATCCCCTATAAGTATCCACTTCACCCTTCCCAGCACGGGTTATTCCGCCAGTGACTGCAAACGTTACTTTATCCTATAGCAGTAGGTTAGCGAGACTGGACGAAGCAAGATTTTAAAACGTAAACGTGAGATATTCCAACTTACAGTTGGTAAACTAATATTAAAGAATGTTCAAGCAAAGATGAAAAGAGGAACTTGGACGAACGCGGCGCCGACAAGTGCCGTCATGATTCAGCATCCTGCCCATAAACTGACAGAAATATTTTACCTCGTTAGATTCCTCAATGTAAAACTTAAACCTAGGATTTTACTCTTCAGAGTTCTGTTTCACAAAACATCGCTAATTAACGTAGAGGTATGCAGCCAAGTATACATTATGATGCATGAATAAATATTTATTTTCAGCCACGCGATGTTCTATGCAAATGTTAAATAATTTATTGGTAATACCAGATGACACGGCACCTACTAAAAATACACAGACGAGAAAAATCTTGTCTAAAAATTAGAACCTATACTAAGGCTCTGTAGAAGGCTTCGTATCATTTCTTCTCTAAAAATTTTTCAATGCCATTGTGAGATCACGTTCTTTCCTAAAACTGCTCACAAGAGTTAAGATGAACTATTTTTTTGGAGCTGTCCTTTTTGCTTACTTTATCGCAACACTTGCCAACTCTACAGTTAAACCGACGAAGGAAGCTCACTGCAATGTGAATAATAACTACAACAGCTTCTACGCCGGACCAAACTGCAAGAAAATCGAGCAACAACTGGAGGAAATACGACAAGAAATTAGGGCATTGAGAGAAAATAAAACTACTGGGTCTGGGAACGGAAAAGGTTTGTAACAGCAACTTAATTTGTGCTACAAATAAACAAAGTGGATCCTCATTGTCATCAATGTCTCTCTAAAATGCCATCAAAACCCTTGCAAAATGTCGCTGAAATAGTGTTCTTATTTTATAAGTTCTCAGGGGCACCCAACCACAATTTTTGGAAAATATCTGTTCGGAAGACGATTTGAGACCTAAAATTTTCGGAACATTTGTTGTTAAATTTCTTGCTTGCATGCCTCTCCTAGGATTTTCGAACCTCCCAAACATGGTATAATTTCCCATTTTTAACGGAATTTTTACCGTAAAAAGGTCACCTAGAATTTTCGGGAGCCTGTTTTCTAGCTGAAATTTTCGAAAAGGTAAGTTTTGAAGGGATATTAAAAGCCTAGTAATCTGAAAGTCGATCCTTTAGGCTTGTCTACTAAAATTTTTAGGGGATGAAAATATGCCTATATCTACCGTTTAAATACTAAAATACGTTCAACAATGCTATGTTTAAGTGGTTTTGAACTATATTCTCGTTGGGTGCCCCTGAGTTCTTCATTAGACTATTTTCTCAACAAATTATTTATGTCTACCTTGAAGAATAATCGGATCGTCATTTTGTTTTCAGTTTACAAGAACTGCGCTGAAGTTTACAAGTCCGGTGACAAGATCAGTGGGGTGTATAAAATCAATCCTGATGGTTTGGGTGAATTTGAAGTGTTCTGTGATCAGAAAACAGCCGGTGGCGGTTGGACGGTGTTTCAGAAGAGGCGAGATGGCTCTGTTGATTTCTTTCGCGCTTGGGATGATTACAAACGCGGTTTTGGCAATCTGAACGGTGAGTTTTGGCTCGGTTTGGACAAGATTCATCGGCTGACCGTAAGCGCTGGTTATAAACTCCGTGTCGACTTGGAAGACAATCATGGAAACACCGCATTTGCCGAGTACAGCTCCTTTTCTGTGACAAGCGAGAGAGCGAAATATCAACTGAATTTGGGAAGTTATTCAGGTAGGTTACTCGATTGGCAAATTAAAATAGTACCGATAAGCAAAAGCAACAATAACAAAAGAAAGAAAGAAATTTGGTGCAGTCGATTGCAATTGGACAGTGGAAGTTATCGTTGATTTTTACAACAAGAACTGACCGTATTTACAAAAATAAGATAGTATCAAGAAGTAAAAATGATGATTTTTCTGTTTCTTTTTTCTTTTCTTTTTTATATCTATTTACCGGCTGACTTCATAAGCTATTCAATTTAGTAAATTATAGGAGCCATCTAACGCTTTAAAAAAGAAACAACAGATGAAGGAAAAAATACGTGAAATTCGTTCAATCTGGAATACTATGAACGTGGACATTGTTTACGTTGAAATGAAATTACCCGTTTGCAAAAACTCTCCGAAAAATGAACGATAAAAATAAGCCCTATATTTTCCTTTTTTATTTCTTTTCGTAGGAACCGCTGGTGATTCGCTTGACGCTCATCGCGCTATGCTATTTTCTACCAAGGATCGCGATAGTGACAGGAACAGTGGTAACTGTGCCTTGAGTTATAAAGGCGGCTGGTGGTACAACAGTTGTCACTGGTCCAATCTGAATGGTCTGTACCTCAATGGTAAGGATGACTCTAAAGGAATGTCCTGGTACCACTGGAAGAAGAAGTACTACTCTTTAAAGAGGTCTGAGATGAAGATACGTCCCCAAAATTTCTAAAACACGGCTGGGACTTTGTGTGAAGTGAAGCGTATGCCACTGGAAGTCGTAATACAGTTAAAACTAAGTAATAGTCTTCTAGACAAATGTATCGAAAAAAGCCAGTTTCATGCTGAATTAACCAAATTGTAACTAAGAGGCGCTTCAATAAAACAGATCAATTGATTAAATTTATGTATTTGAATTGTTTATAGAGAGAATTAATGAAACAAACCAAATTTTCACTTTCAATTTTTGGTACTGTATATTATGCCGTACAAGGTGGTTCTAACTTTTGCGTCTTTGGATGAAATCCTAAAGTGTGACCACTGATCAAATGAAAGCTACTGAGCAGTACCTTCCTGCGGTACTGTTTATTATGCTGTACAAGGTAGTCTGTGGGTTAAACTCCAAAGATTTACCATTATTTCAAATGACTGCTACCAAGTGGTACTTTCCCATGGTGCTGTTTATTGCGTTGTACATAGCGGTTGGATTCTCACCCTTTTAGAATTCATATGAGTATATAAATGAGAAAAGATGAGAATTTTAGCTTAGCTTTGGACCTGAAAATCCGCAACTCGCTATGAGCGAGTATAATAAAGCTGCAGGATGCCTTTCGCTTCACAACGCCTGACTTGTTTTTAAACACACTCGTCCCGTCACAAGCCCGAAGCCTGAATCTCATCTTAACAGTCCTACCCAGAACGGCATGTGCACGAACTCAGTCATATTCAAAGTCCTCCTGAAAAACACAAAGGTGTGTGTTAATTTTTATTTCTGTTTATTTTTTTTGATGGGGGCTGAGGGGAGAGCGAGAGGTTGGGAAATCGTTCATTTCATCCCCTCCCCTTTCCTCACCTGTTAAACACACGTCCTTCTCTTCTTCGAAAAACAAAAATTGTGACCCTGGCCCATGACGGCCATATTGATGTACCAAACCAATCCCGCGGGAGTTGAACTCTTGTCTTTAACTCTCTCTTTTGTTTCAATATTCTCCAGTATTCCAGAGTGACTGCCACAAACACATTCATTTCTCAAACACAATTTTGTGGGTTTTCACCTCTCTTTTTTACTTAAAAGGTACAGATATAAATAACCAGCTGGGACCGCTGTAATTAGCTCACCGCTGTTGTGGCACCCCTGCCTATTAAGCATTTATGTATCATTCATTGTTCAGTAACAGTTGAAGCTAATAAAATAAAATAAATAAATAGATTTTTTTTTGCAGGGAATTATCGCTAATGGGGTTACATAGAAAGTAAAGTACTCAAGAAGACGCAAAATACGATTCTAAAAGTCTCCTTGTTGACATTATTCAGAAAACCCTGCCAATGTGGGAATATTCTGGCAGAAAGTATATGCATGCTTCTGACAAAGAAAGGATTTTTCTGTTAGCACGCATCTTGATCTTGCTGTTCCTGTGGTTCAAAGCCACAAATTTTCGAGGTATCAACGTCGACTGCTGATTAGCCGCCCCTATATCTACTGATTTTATCAGGGGCATCTCGGCCAGGAAACTGGACTACTTTCGACTGGAGTGACGAACGCGGATCAGTCATCAATGATTACCTCTAGCAGTAGCGGTAAGCTTACGCATGGACGAAAAAGGGTTACCTACGGCCCCCCGAAACATTCGAAAAAGCTCCATGAAGACTAGTCAGTTAAGAAGAAAGCTTGGAAGTACACGATTTTCTGTAAGCAGCAGTTCACGCGATCTTAGTTTAGGCTCATTCAAAGAAAACCAGTAATTTTGAAGATAAAGAACTACAACTAATTAACCCTAACAGATGAGAGCATCGTGGTACGGTAATAAAACAAAAGGCTTGCACACCTTTCCATTCCTTTACCCCAAGGGCTTAAAAGTATGTAAGCCCGGTCTTCAAGAAGCAGAATATCTCCCTTAGTAAAAGAACAGTCCCAATTCTCGTAGCAATTTCGCAAAGTTGGGTGTTAGAGAAGAAGACTGCATCCAAAGATTGTTCCAGTTAAAGGAGGTATGATGATCTCTATTTGAGCTCTTTAAACGCGTTTGTAGCACGTGGTTGTTGCGAAAGAAGCTTTTTTCAGTTTCTTAAAATAGACGATTTGCCAGCACCACGAAGTTTTATTACACGAATTTGAGTGGAACAACTTGGAAACGTATTTTTTTACAACTGTATTTCAGGCATTTTCATATAGCACCCTGTCCCCCCCCCCACCCTCCCACCCCCAAATCTTCCCACCCCCCCACCCTGCCAGCACAAAGTACATCTCCATTCAGTATACAAAGACACCAGCAAGGTATGAGGCCAGTGAAGATTTTTGTTGTGTTTGGTGCCGGTGTTGTTTTTGAAAAGACTTTTGTCCTTTTTGTAAAAAAAGTATTTGTTCCCACCCCCGGCATTTTTTACACCGATTTGTGGGGAGACACTATTGACACCGTTTTTTTTTAAATCTCTTTTTTCACATTTTTCATAGACCCCCCCCTCCCCCCCCCCCCCCCCAACAATAGCCCCCCTCCTTGCAAGAGCTCAGTACCTAGAAATGGTTATTTTGCAAAGAACAAGGCATTCGAACAGGATCACTACGAAAAGGCAGAACTTTGAGCTTTGCGTTACTGGCTGCTATCTTGGATGAGTGTCAAAACTACTTAGGAGGCGGGGGCGGTTAGGGAGGAAGCGAGAATAATCCCCGACGCCCGCCCGCTCGGTACATTTGAAAATCAAGATGGCTGCCATTAAAGGTAAGACGCGCTCGATCTCTGCGATCTCACAGAAACAATAGGGGACTGTGAACAGTCTAGCGCCTCCCTCGATCTCCAGCATGGCGCTTTTGTTTTAATTGTAATTGTTGACGTAACCAGCTTATTTCTTGTCGCTTGTTTGTGTTCAGTCAGTCGCGTGCTAAGGTTTCTGCCGGTTTCACCAATGTAAGTGGCCTGGATGTCGCAGCATGTGGTATTATATACTGCTCCCTGTCTGTCTCCGCTTGTCTTTGTCCTTAATATGAATTATTAAGTAGCCGTCGTAAAGTGGTTATCGGTTTGTGTGCAACGCGTGTGCTTTACTGTTGTAGTGTACGTGCGATAGTTTCACAGGTGCTTCTGATGTATGCCATAATCGCTGTCGTAACTGGGCCAGAGTTAACATTGGTGTGCTGAGTGCTGAAATCTGCGTTACTGCGTGTGTTTCGTCTAACAACGTCCGCGTTGTAGTTATTTTCACTAAAAACGATGTTTAGGGAGTCAGTTTCGTCTTGTAGACTACCAGGCAAGTCGCAAACTAGTTACGCTCGTCTGGTCAAAGTCCGTGTAGTCCGTATAGTTGTGAAAGTCCGCATAGTTGTATGATTACTGGTCCAGTAACCTGTTGGTGTGTCGGTTTCCTGTAAATTGTCGTTCTTAGTCTGTCGTTGTCGAGAGTGACCAAGCAGTCTAGAAAAGGTATTTTACCATTTTCTTCGATTCCTTGGTAAACTGTATGTCCGCCTTCTGTCTAAGGTGTTCGTGAAAATCGTCGATTTCGTCTGTGTTTACAGTGGTACAAATGTAAAAGTGTCGTCAACGTAGCTTAACCAGAGAGGTACAGTTCGCATATAAGTAGCTAGGTCTAGTTTCTCGATGTTTTGCATCACAATTTCTGCTACAATAACAGAAACAGGAGAGCCCATAGCTGCACCGTGCAACTTTTTTGTAGTTTTTGCCGTTGTACTGAAAGTACGTCGACGTTAGGCATGCAGAGGTCGAGCAGGTCCATAATGTCGTCTGCAGGTTGTGGTCGTTCAGCAGTAGAGTTCTTAAATAGAATTCTCAGTGCAGTCTAGAGCCAGTTGGAAGTGGAATACTGGTGAACAGTGATTTTCTCATACATTAGGAGCAGGCCAATTTGTTGATTTCATCTTGGCTTAACCCGTGAGAGGAATAAAACATAGAATGATCAGTGATGTGAACGGCGGAATATAAATTCAACCGAAGATATGATCGTCGCGGTGCTAATTGCAATTTTTAAATTGCAATAAATTGTTCAAAAGCAATTACAAATTAACAAGGCTTAACTGACAGACAAATCACAAATAACATTGCGACTTAATTGACTAATCAGGTCGATAACCAGAGTTCAATACCATCAACTGACGTGATACAACTCACTTTGACTCTAAAGATGACTACCGCATAAGTTGTCGAAACGGGGTGACTGTTTCATCACCAATACCACAAGGATCAAGAAAAAACTTTTTCCTGATGATTAAAAATTTCCCCCACCCTTCATGTCAATCACAAGGTCAGCTAATTTTCGTCATGATCAGTTCGCCACTTCAAAAGTAAAAACTCATCATCATCTCCTAACTGAAGACGGCTTAGAAAAGGAGTGACGAAACGTTATGTCCGCTTTAAGCCTGTGAGGCCAGGGAGATATGTGAGCGTGATCAAGTGGTATAGCTCGGGTTAGGACGGTTAGAATCGTTGATGAACACTCTTACACTCACTCATAGAACAATATACCGAAATACAAACTATAAAATCATAAATGCAAGACAAACTAACAGATTGTTTCAGAACGTACATTTCATTTATTTTCACCTACGAACATGAATATACTATATCAACTACCAAAACTATCAAACCTTAATTTTTACAGAAGATAATCAAACTGTTGAGCACATTCAGTATCGTAACCCTTTTAATACAGTGGAACCTTGATATAACAAAGGGCCAATGGACTGGCAATGTATCTTCGCTATATCGATGTTTTGTTACATTGAGCTTCTCTTCCCTTTATTTTGTTATTATTGGGGGCGAAAAATATAGTTCGTTTACCAAGATCTTCGTGATATAGAAGTTCGTTATATCGAGGTTCCACTTGTATCCTGAAATCCACATTTAAATCGTCTACAGACTGTTCTTCACACATTTTTAGTTGATAGAATTTGAGAAAAGAACATTAAATTTCCCCTTAAGAGATCATCAAATTAATTTTCATAACTTTTTCTCATTATGATTTATGGATTCTTAGGAGAAAGAAATGTTAATCTTCTTCCAGGACATTTTCAGTGGTCTTAATATCTAGCGTCTCACGGGTTACTTCCATGTACTTATCATAGAGGTCCATCGGGACAGGAGGAGAATAATCCTCATAACTCCGCATGTAAACCAGTTGGTTACCATACTCGTTAATTATCTTGTACATATTTCGTAGTTCAATATTGAAAGAAAAATTTGCATCATCAGTGTTTTCAATGGAAATTGTATATGCCCCTGTCACTGACCCCGCTTTCAAAGTGAGGGTTACTGTTTCACCATCAACACCACAAGGATCAAGAAAATATTTGTCGCTGATGATTAAGAAGTTTTCCCCACCCTTCATGTCAATCACAAGGTCAGCGGAATTTTGGTCATGATTAGTTCGCCACTTCAAAAGTAAAAGCTCATTACCATCTCCGAAGTGAAGGTTGCTTGGAAAAGGAGGGAAACTTAAGGATTTTATGTTCGCGTTTAGCCTGTGAGGCCACGGAGATATGTGTGCGTGATCAAGTGGGATAGGGTCTGCATCGTTAATGAACACGTTCCCTGTATTTTTTGTATCCAATTCAATTTCTAACACAGGTCTGCCAGTCGATTTATCATAAACAGTTAGTCTTTTGTATTCTAAAATCATATACTTGCGATCAAGTTTGTTAGCATGTGCGGTTCTCATAATTATCTTTGGAGGATGGTCACTTTCATCAACGATCTGGAATTTTCGGGAGTAAAAATTTGAGTCAGTCAAGTCATCAAAATTAAATTCATAGACATTTCGTCCGGATGTTTGGATTACTCTGAATGTGGGATTGTCAATGTGGTGAGTAGTATAAAGTATCACGTGATCATCAAATGGCGACCCTTTAAATAGCCAAACATTCTCGACTGTCCCAAGTTGGTGTGTGTTCCTATTTTGTCCGTGATAATATTTCAAAATACCTTCTTTAGAGTCAAAAAAGACTCCTTTTATATCTTTTCTGTCTTTTGAAATTCCTTGAAAAGAGAGTACATTAAATAGTCCACCTCCCAAAACAACCTTTAACTTATCAACGTAACTGCTATTAAACTCTCCTATCATACCGTTAATGTTCAAACAATCTGTTCCACTTCCAGTCTGAATTTTAATCTCCTGATTTAAACGAAAATTTCGGTATTCGTCAATACTGATAACGTCATTTTGCTCTACGTCATCGTTTGGTATATAAGTATCGATATCAATACCGTTTAAAATTTCCCCTGAAACAAAGCTCGTATTAATGAAAACAAACGCACCACCATAGGATGTGCCGCTTTTAAATCTTCCATAGAAATCAAAGCCGATGAAATCAATAGTTTTGCCCCAGCCCGTAGAACTCTCCTCTAAAGGCATATATGGACTAACTATTCCACGATATTTACCCATACAAACATTTGACACATTTCGTAACTCTTCCGCTGCTGTATCAACTGAGTTATGTGGCGATAACTTAGGCCCTACATATTTACGAAGGTGTAAAGAGCTATCATATTGCAATTCGTCGCAGCCGGGGTTCCTGTATAACCCGCGACGCCTATGATAACAATCGTACATCTTTAATTGCCCACTACGAACGCTGTACAGCAAAGATGCCTGATTGTTGGCATAAACATCGGTGAAAAGCGTGCCTGTCTTCTCTAAGAAGTCCATCCGCGTGACGATTTGAGCACCGCAGGCGTCCCTCAGCCTCCTCAGCTGTCGAAGCCGATCCCTATGTGCCTCGACTGCTTCCACGTCGTAGCCTGGCCCGCCAAAAAGTTCGATGAGGGTAGCGGCAATTCCAATAAGCGCCCCAGCAATGGCCCCAATTGGTCCAAGGATTGTTGAACCCGTTATTATCGCAGCAAAGAAAGTCGTGAGGCCGACAACGCCAGCAGCGATACTCAAGGAAGCGGCAGCGATGCCAGCAGGATTATTATCTCTGATGGCCATCTCCAGACCCCAGATGTTCAGACCAATTGATAGGGTATCGGTGATTGGTCCGAGAACATCAAAAACCGATGCTCCCTTCAACCACTTACTCGCTTTGGCAAAAGCTTTACCAACTTTACTTGTACGCGAAAACTTACTGACATCGGCTTTCAGCGCTTTCTTTAATGCTTGTTTTGCTCCCCGGATAGCTTGTTTGTCGACCACCTCACTTCCTGCCTTGGCAGCTTCGTCAGATACAAGACCATTGTAAGTTCGCCATGCTTCTCTGGTGCCTGCAAAATCTCGATGGGTTTTGACGTAATTTGTGATTTCTTCTGCGACGGGCAGAACTGCTCCTCCTCCAACGTCCAACAGAGCCAAGGTCAGGGCTGACTGAGCAAGAGATTCCTTGGCTTCCGCCAGTTTTTCTTGTTCCAGCAGTGATAAGGAGGCGACAGTACTGGAACGCGAGTAGGCACCAAGGAGGGTGTTTGGCACCATGGTTGCCTTGGCAAACTTTGTTGCTGTAGAGGTGAACGATGCAGACGTAGTCGAGCAACAGATAACTCCAAGAAAGACCACAATGGAGAGAAACGCCATGGTGATGATCAGAGGGGAGTGGATGTGGGATGAATAGACCTGAGATTTGAAATGGTATGTTATTTTTGTTTCAGTAATATAAATATCCAATGAAAGATGACCTAATCTGATAGATGTAGCTGGCATTATTTGGTATTTTCTTCATCTAGTAACCATCCTTTGTTTAAAGATTTCATGCTGAGATTCAGCGGGTACTAGCACAAACAACGAGAAAACTGGTGCCAGTATTGGAAAGGAATATATTTTTTTTCTTAAGCCCGTAACAACAAAATTCTTAATGCGAATATTTACGCGAGCCATTTTTTATTGTTATGTCTAACACTACACTCGCTCAAAACAAGTAATTCAGTTGCGATCATTAACAGTTTGCACTATTGATTGTCCTATTAAAATATGACACATTCAATGATTAAATAACAAATCAAGATAAATTGGTGTTCACAGAACGTGTAAAGATAGATATATGAATCAAGAATTATCGTAGCATCTGTAAAACAGGGGGAATCTGTGATATGAAAAAATTCTTACGCGTTGTTGTCTGCCAATGAATGATCCTGATTAACACTTGCCATTGAATTGGATAACATTTGTTTATCAATATTCTTAAACGTATTCATGAACTGGAAATGGTTTAAATCAAAATTGGGAAATTCAACGACACTAAATTTTTTCTTGTTTTGTTTCTCGCATTTAGAAATAAAATTCCGTAGGCCATTTGGTTTTTTTTTAAAGGCATTATCAATATCATTATCAATACTAACCAAAGGTACCAGGGTAAACTGAATTTGAATTGTTCACAATTCCAAGTGATTAATTTTTTGTTGTTTTAAGGTCACGAATCCTTGCTACGTCTTTAAAAAAATAACGAAACGAAATAGAATTTCTTGTTTTACCAACGGGCGGCGAAGCCGATAGATGGCTGCGCCCCACATAAAGATCAATAAAAATAACAAATTTCTTAAAAGGAAAGTCACCGTCAGCTTTTAAATAATTTTTAATATTTCGCCTTGCTCAGCATCATGTTTCTTGAACTTACACCTTTCAGTTCTTCAACATTTGCTTTGTGATATCTTAGTGAACGTTTAGCTTAGCCATGGTTTTACTTCTAATATCATCAAATATAAAAAAAAGGCAAATAGTTAATGAGCAATACACTAACCTATTTCCAAGGTAAACCAGTTTAGAGAACGTCTTTGAATCTCTTGGGAACTTCTTTCGCGAGCAAATCTTTCGTGTGAAAATGAAACACGACTACCAAGAGCACTGTATTTCACTCACCCAAGCTTAATAAATAGTTAATTTGTTTTTACACTAGACCTAACACTAACAAAGACCATTTAAATGAATAGTGGATCTCACGATAGCCCATCATTAGATTTTATGGGAGCAGTCTAGTAAAGTTTGACTTTTTTTCTTAAGATTTTTATATTTTGGTTCCATGTGATTAAGAAGAGTATTATGATTCCGTTCTCCTGGAACCAACAACATCTCAAACTCTAGTTAACGCGTTATTAATCTTTTAAGATACAAAAATGGTTTATTGGGTAAGAAAACTGTTTAAACAGACTTCCCGTATCATGAACTAGTCGAAGCTTCCGCATGCAAACCGTTTCGTTTCCGCCAAGGTACTCGAACACTTTGATCCCAAATCATCGAGGTCTACTGTTACTTTAAAATTCCTTTATCTCAATATACTAAGCAAAAATAGTGGGGAGAGGGGGGGGGGGAAATTAGTTGGAATCTTCCTTATTTTTTCGGCAATTACGTAGCTCCTGATCCATTGACTTAACGTTTGAGTATTAGTTGTATATATATGCATGGTCGAACGCTGTCTTATTTTACTCCAAGGCACTGAGATAAAGTGACACCATTTGGAACTGGTTTGTATTTCATTTTCTTATACTCTGCGAAACTGCACCAAGAATTTTGAGTCCATTTTAAAATTAGTGAATCATGTAACTTCCGACATCCTTTCGGATGTCGGAAGTTACGGAAGCTCATCTTTCTCCACCCGTTTTGTATCACAGCGAGAGCGCAGGTCTCTGAAGTTACACAACTTTGACAATCATAGTTTATAGTCTTGTGCTATCCGTAAAGATTAAAATACTTACCAGGCAGATTGCAAGAAGCTTCAACTTAGAGTAAATTTAAAAGATAATGTGACAGTAGCTTTCAATGGTTTTTCTTGTTATCTGGTTTTCTTACCTTAATGTCTAGCATTTGACCAGTACGATATGTCGTGATCATTCATTAAAGAAAACACCTCTTAAGCGTTTCACTCTAGATAGTAAACCACTATCAGTGTAAAAAAAGTTGTAATCCTAAATAGTTTTTATTGAATTAAGTTTTATGGGTAAGAGGAAAGCCTTCAATGACTTGTTATTTGAACAACTATCATAAAAATGTCTTCTTGATCCCGTGAACTCAGTTACTATCTATACCGTGCTTCTCTGTTTTGTCTCTCTTCCCTTACTGGCTCGGACAAGACACTCCTTAAAGAATTCGTTAAGTTCCTTTGAGGATTACAATTCTGTTCACTCATTCTGTCACTTTTAAGTCAGATTAGAGAAAAGGGTGAGTAAAAATTGGCTAAATGAAGCTTGCCTATAAATGTCTTCAAAATTGAGTAATAATTTCGTTGTAGCGTGTTTGACCTCGTGGACATGAAGATAATACCGTAAATTGTGTGTTTACTTTAGAAGCCCTCTTAAAATAACAATCCGGATTGTTACAAAAAAAGCATCATCTGTCAATGAAGTTATGTTGTGACTTTATTCTAAGTATTCCATTTAATTAAAGTAATCTTACTGACATCTTTAGACTCAAAATAAGCCTTCAAGAAAACCAGGTCAGATGATCGTCCGCTACGCTTAGAGAACAAAGCGTTTACCACGTATTTTGTAGAGCGATACATCTTGCATCGCATTTCTTTTTTTAAATCAGTGAAAAAAATTACGTTTCAACAACAGGTTACAACTAAAGGCTATTTTCTGTCATTTTTAGTCACAATTAAGTACACTGACTGACGGAGAGAAAATTTTCATAGTAATACATTTAAGCCTGGTTTTTAGTAGACCATATTATTGAGCTGAATTTTTTTTTTTCTTTATTGAGTATTCATTTCCGCTTTTTTAATTGTATTTTATTTCTTATATTTTCATTTTCTCTTTTACTGAATTTTTAAAAAAATTGAAAGAAATGAACGGATTTCTTGTCAATGTCAATTGTGGTTGGTACCAGTCAATTAAGAGTGAAAAAAGGAACAGGGACCTGTCAGTTCTCGAAAGTCCCGTTAACCTTTCGGGCCCGAAAAGTTGTTTTGCGTTTGTCGTGCTTGCATTTAAGATCAAAGTTTCAATAATTTTGAAACTAATATAATGAAACTATCAGTTAACGAAGCATAATTGACTGGTTTGTGCGCTAGGAACTGTGCTTCTATTCAACAGGTGTGGATTTTAAAATTTGCCTTCGGGACCGAAAAGTTTCCAGGCCTTTCGAGAAACAGGCCCCAGCAGCGTCTTTTTTTTTCTACTTTGCGACATAAAACAATGATGAGATAAATTTAAAAAAAACATCATCAACAACAAGCACTAACAGTCATTATATAAGGCCTGTTTACATGGAGGTGGGGAACCTTAGGTAGGTGGGGTAAACCGCCTGTTTGCATGATCCCTCATTTTAGATTTCATCTCGTTTACATGATAGGTGGGGTGACCGTGAGATTATAGTGAGCAGGATAACTTTACCTAACTGGGTTCTTCTACCTCCGTGTAAACAGGCCCTAAGTGTGCATATACCTCTGAGGGATAAACGTTTATTGTCCTATACACGGCTATTGGAGAGAAGCGCATTAAAAACGAAGCCGAAGACAATGGGTGACTGGGCGTTTATGATTGCTTCTCCAATGTTATTGGGCAGTTTGTCTTTAAATATTAGACAAGCAGCAACATTTACTTTTCTTTATTATTATAATAATAATTATTACCGCAAATCATCTATTGAGCCCCTCCTCTCAAATAAGCCCCCTCCCTCTAATAAGCCCCTTCTCTATTAAGCGCCCCTCCCCTCCCCTAATTTTTCTTCCTTAATAAATGATATACTGCATTAATTAATTACGACAGTAAAACTTCGTGTGGACTGATCCGGGATGGTTTATTTTCCAACTGGAAGTTCGGATTGGATTCTGATCCTCGGCTACATGACCTCCAATCATCTTTTCCACTTTGTATTCTAGTTCTTTGTGGAGAACAAGAGGCTCCTGTGGCGAACTGATACCATTGTCTCTTCTAAATTAATTAAGCCCCCCCCCCCCTTCCTCAATTCACACCCCGCGCTCCCCCCCCCCCCCCCCACCACCCGCCATAACAGCACCCCACGCCCGCTCTAGCTGCCGCCGACGGCGCTTACTACCAAGTTATTATCGTAGCACAGACTCGTCGCGTGTGCATGTAGGTTGCTCACAATGCAACCAACAGCACTTAGTGGGAATTGGTTTTGACCCTGGGCTAATAGACCTCCAATCATTTTTTCCACTTTTAATTCTAGTTCTTTGTGGAGAAAAAGAGGCCCCTTTTGCCAACTTATAACATTGTCCCTTCTAAAATAATTAAGCCCCCCCCCCCTCTTCTTAAATAAGCCCCCCGTCCGCTACTCCCCCCACAGATGAACTTGAAATAAATGAGCCCCGGGTGGGCTTAACAGAGGATTTACGGTATTTAATATATAGATTTAGCCAGGGCTAAAAGTGAGGCCCCGTTTATGTATTTTAAATTTACTTCAGACAATGGACTTTATAAAACCATTGCAAAGAATCCACAAATCTATACATAACTTTAGGATCGAGAAAGCCATATGACTGAAAATCATAAACTTGAGCCTGCGATCAATTGAAAGCTAACAATTGGTCAGCGGAAAACTTAAAAAACACCTGCCCTCGATGAGTTGGCACCTGAGCCGGCGATACGGTCACGTGACACTGGTCAACGGATAGCCTGTTTTGA